GACATTTTCCTTTTAGAGGTCTATAAAAATTGGTGAAGTTGAGACATTATTAGCAAGTTTTAATCTTTTCACTCCTTTGTAATTAGTGTTGCTCTTCAAAGAAAAACTTGAAATAATAATTAAAATCACTTTCCCTCTTCAACATCATACATTAAAGAATAATAATTTTGTTATGAAAAATTATTTCTTCTAACTGCTAAATTTGGAAGCATTAACTATTTGTATGATATTTCTGAATGGTGTAGTTAAATAAAATTAAAATTATTTCAAATGAAACTAACGTTTCGAGTACAATTCCTAACCGCAAGTAATTAAAAATTGAAAAATTTTACCACTTGCCAAAATTTTCAGTTTAGATAAATACATTTAAATACACAATAACACATACTGCATTAAAAATTTATTTTATTTGTTATAATTATATCCGTTATTATATTAGTCAGAATTTTCAAATGAGGGGAAAAGATTTCTTAATTTTTTCCACAACAGAAACGCTTCCGATAGAGTTCACTTCATTAGAAAATGTACGTGTTTGGAGAAAAGAAACTTAATTTTTTTACACTTTTTTCTACAGCATCTAATATTAAATTATTTGTATTAACGCAATACAAGTTAAAGCATTATTTCTGGTAATACAACAAACACACAGCAAAATTTTTAGGAAAAACATATGTAGTTTAGATCTGATCCGTTACTTTTCACTTTCTCATGAACAAATTGGTCAGATCCCTCATAATTTTTTCCAAAGGGCTGATTGGACCTCCTATAGCGATTCCTGCAATTTACCGTATTTGACGGCATATAAGACGCACCCTTATTTTAGAAGGCCACACACAAGAAAAAAAAGTTTTAATAGTACACGCGGGAGCGCAGTACCACAATAACTTAAAATGTGGTTTCTTTTAGTTTTCACGTTTCGTAAAAGCCAAATAAACAATCATTGAATGCAATTACCAAACATATTTTTATTAAGGAAAATTAACAAACGGCAAGCTATTTTGAACATTATATGTAAATTTCGATAATGAATAAATGAATGAACGGCAAGCAATCAAACATAATACAAAATAAAGCAGAACAACAAAAAACACAGATTCAAGGAAAAGTCTAAATAAAGAAGGAAAGGCTCCATAGACATAAATGTGACCGTCGAAACTGTTCGAACTTCGACATCAGCTTCGAGCTTTGGCGCCTTTTTGGCGACAGATATTTCACGCATGCGCAAAATAATTATGGCAGACGTAGAAAAAGTTATGTATGTCTAGACCTTTATCCGGGCTAAAAATAGCATTCAGTATTGAAAGTTAACCTGTGTCCTTCACGTATAAGACGCAAGTAACCTTTTTGAGACCAAATTTAGGAAAAAAAGTGCGTAATACGGTAGTAAAATTCCTCGGTTCTATTTGTTGACACGCCTTTATTCTTAAACAAAGAGAGCAAAGAATATGTGCCTACATTTTGTGTTATTTATAGATGTTTACATTTTTGCTTAAAAAGGAACAGAAGCTGCAAAAAGGAACTGCAAAAAAAAAAAAAAAAAAAAAAAAAAAAAAGCAGTAAGCAGTTTTAAGAATTTTGCAAAAATAGATGTTCTACACTACAGAATTTTAAAATTAATAACTATTATTTTAAAATTTTAGGCCATGAATCTAATTATATGATGTAAATTAACCAGAAAAAAGTGAACGATATTTTCGCATTCCCTTCCGAGGACAACGGTGATACCCTTTAGTATTAACAATGAATTTTTTTTTATGTTATTTTTCTGTTTTGTATTATGATCAAAAAGTAAAATGCATTTGTTTTTGATAAACATGTTAGAACTATAGTGTAGAACAGGGTTTCTTAAACTTTGGGTCGCGACCTGCAGCAGGGATTCATAAAAAATTTGAGCAGTTTTGATATTTCTTTAACTTATTATAATAATTTTACAATTACCAAATATTTTTACACAATGTATCTGAAAATAGATAAAGATAAGACAAGAAAAAAATGAAAATGTTTCGATGCATTCTTTTTTTAATATTAATGTTCATTTTCCTTGCTTTGCACGTGATGTCATTTCGTCTGTTACTTATTTAAAATTTTCACATTGTTCTATGTCTTAAAATTAAAGTTAATGACCTAAAACTGCAATAGTATAGTACAAGTGAAAAAACTGACAGTTTCACTGAAAAGGTTTAACCCTAGTGTAGAACATCGATTTTTGAAAAAATTTGCAAATAAATTTGTATAAATAATATTTTTGCAAATAAAACTACTTCTCTCGGAAAGGAATGTTGTTGATTCATGGTTTCAGATTGATGTCGACGATGTATATGATCTTACAATTACATCAAATTTTTTTATCATTATAATTAGTATTTCATATATGATGCTACTGTTTGTTTAAATCAGCACTGAAAAGCATTCAAAGGTTATCTGTCTATGGGAAGGGATGCCGCCCCATTTGTAGAGGTCTTTCTAAGGGAAATTGGACTGTATTTACCTCATACACAAGAAAAACCATAAAAGCTCGTACAGCTCGTTCCCTGATTTTCTAACCTATGTCGAACTAGCACTGTTCAGCAATCTTATACATTTTGCCCACTAATGGGCTATGTTTCCTTTTTTTTTATTCTATTTAAATTCTCTTGTTTTATACTTCCTTTTAATCGAAAATTATCTGATTATCTGTCCCAAACACAGATGCACATAAAATAAATAAATAAATCTGAAAGCTTTCAGATTTTATACTATGCTGAAAGGGGTGTTTTTTTAACGTTTTTTGCGTTACCTTTATTTATTAAATATCATGTTCTTTGCACTTAAACCATAAAATTCAATTCAACAGCAATATCACAAAATAAATTAAAAACAGCATATCTTTCGAATTTCTGATACACAGTCTCCCGCGCTGGAGATAAATGTTATTTTTCGTGCAATGTTCCCATTGCTCGCCTTGAACTGGATGAGTTTGTTAATCGAAAATTCGTTAAAGTTTTACAAAATATGAAATAGATACTAAAACAAATTCTAAACTCTGAATTTGGGCTTCCAGATGGCCATATTCGAGTGGACTATGTTATTCAAAATTTAATGCCTCTAGGTGCCGTTGTTTTCTCACAATGTGACAAATATGCATACATACATTCAGATTCTTCATTGCTTAATTTCTTTAAATATAATGCAGGGCTCTAACGTTTAGTGGCAACAATTTGAAAAGTGAAACTCCATTTATACAGAACCAACGCAAAACGCCAAAACGAAATTAATAGCTCTTCTGTGCAATTTGCCCCTTTGGGCTAATAATAAACATGCTCTCTACATTATTCCACAAAAAAGTTTAATATTTTAGCTATACTTATTGACATACGTGAATTTTGAAATTAATGTAAAAACAATCACTCAAAATTATTTTACTGTGTTTCCTTCCCTCGTTTGTGCTATCTTTAGATATTATTATATTATAATTAGGTAATAAGTAGCAAATCTCAAAATTAAATACCTCATCTTATTTTTTTTCTTTTTTTTAAATACTTATTTTCTTTCAAACATTATGCTTTTAGATGCTTAGTTGGTTTGAAACGAAAGGGCTTTTCCTTCTTTAGTGACATCAAGCTTGATAGCCAGAGGGAAAGTAGAACCGGATACCGAGGCTATTCAAAACTGTAAAAGGACAAAAGCTTTATGACTTGAAAGTGTCACCTAACCTTCGAAGTATTTTCTACCGCTTGTTTGGTGAGGAAGGATGACTTTTCCAGATCTTATTCTTATGGAAAATCGGAGATTTTCCGTTCATTCTTTGTTAATCACATGAATGTTTTTGGAAGGCTGGAAAGCAATATTTTTAAAGTTTAAATCTTAGCTTTTGAAAATTAATTAGAACTTTAAGTATAGGTTGTGATGAAGCGGGAGGGTGCCCGTGCACCCCCTGCCTATGCGCTTGTTTTTAAGAAAAACTTGCAATTTATCCCTCCCGCCATCAAAGCTCAGACACCTACCAAAGTCGTTAAAGTTACATGGACAGAAATGGCGGCATGTGTTTCAGCTAAGTATTCACGGGTAACAGGGCTATCATAATTTTTCATTTATCGTGCCAAAAAATTTCTCGCCAAAAAGGACTAATACTAAAGCTGTGCCATTTAAACTTGTAAGCAAACAATAAAATTTGAAAACTAATAAAATGGTTCTTTAAAAATAACTTGACAAATTATTTTTATTTTTAAACTTGAAAAACCTGACAATTATTTTAATGTTATTATTTCAAGCTTTAAACATGCACAAATGGCTAAAAAATAATTAATTTAGACAGTTTTCCTACCACACACATACGAAAATTATTTTTAAAAGGAATATATAATTTAGAAATAAAGAAATTTCATTTGTATAAGCTTCTATTAGTAAAGTATTTATATTTCCCAAATTCAAAAATACAATATTAAATACAGCATGGGATAGCTTATATAAAATATATCACGCATTATTAACATCAATAGATATATCACTAAAATACAAAGATATGCATCGAAAATCGAACTGCACACGTACATAACACAATATAAATAGGATATTTAACACTTCTCCAAATGAGAGATTTTTCAGTTGAGATAATTCTCATTTTTCACAAACTGAATTACGCTAATCCCGAAATCCGGTATGCAATAACAGACGTTTCTAACAATCAAATGATAATAAATTCCTATTTCCTCAGCAAATTGTCTCGAAGAAAAATAAAATTTCACAAGAAAGGCCAATAATCCCCCGTTACTGCACAAGTGATTATATTTTTCTAAGCTTTTTCCAAGTGTTCAAAAGTTTGTAATGACAGAAATGTATGAAATCAACGAATTTCAAGGAGTAGGGAATCAAGTTGTTGAAGGGACGGAGAAAAAAGTAACAAAATACAATATGCGGTACAAAGCAAAAATTATTTAAAGAGTCTGTCATTCGTTTAGCCAAATAAAATTTGACATGGTGAATCTCAGGTGCATGTTGCAAAATACACACAATATGCTTACCCTAAATTTGATAGATAACTGATTATTTGGTCCATTCCAAACCGCACTTTTCAGAGTAATTTTGAACTGAACCAACTGCGTAAACACAGCTGAATCTCAGCCGACTCCACACTCCGGCGAAACAACACGAAGCATGCCATCTATCCTCGCAATTGCCAATGCCTGTGAAAAAATTCAAAGGGGAAAAATATTTAAGCTTCGTAAGAGGAATGAACGCTTATTGTACAATTGTTTCACTTATTCATAATGAAAAGAAATAAATCCATAAAATCAGTCAAACAAAAATCGTATTAGCTTCGTTAAAATTTCATTTTGAAGCTGAAGTAGAGAAACGCATGCTAAATGACCTTAGAAACGATTGAGATTTATATAAAATCTATTTAAATTCAAGTGCAGTGTAAAATGAAGCAAAAGCAAATTGTTTCCCTAATTTTGCTTTGCAATGTGAATTTTTTTTAGTTTCGAGTTTAGATGTTTTTTGCTGAGTAGGAATATTTTCAGGAAATTAGACGACTTAGGGAAAATATAACGTGGTTATAGGGAAGGGTTAGGTTTGTTGATATATACAGCTTTGGTTGAAACGAAAAGTAGTGTTTATCGTTGTAAGGAAATTGGTGAACGCTTATTATTCAAGCTAAATAATGGTAAAGTTATCTCTCTAATTATTATCTTGATAAGTATAATGTGTGTTCTCGAGAGCAGTTAATCATGTGTGTTGAAAATTTGTTTAAACAGTACAGAAATGTTGTTTAGCATTATCACGTCCGTATCTACTGTTAATAAATAATGTAGTTTATTATTTAGGGATATAATTCACTGTCGAGGTATGTTTTTTCAAATCCAGCCTCTATAAAATGTACGATATCTCCATTTTTTGGAGGGGTTGATAAAATAATGAAAAGAAGGGCATAAGTATAAATATATAGAATTTGATGCAGCTTTTAAAAACCACAAAATAATTCATTGTAATTTTATCAGACGCATTTTATCAGGATACGTTTGATGAAAAGCAGACATTTGCATTAATTGTAAAATGAATTTTCACCCATTTCCTAGAAACTGAATATTTCTGATTCAGGGGGGCGGGGATTTCGAATAATAGTAAATGGATGATTTTTACTGAATGGTGTGCTGCAGAAATGACATTTTTAAAAAAGGCCATATTATTCTGCTGAGTTAAAATTTAGTAATTTAACATGAAGAGAAATAAGAAGTTAAAGAAGTTCATATTACACCTCATATCAATTTACTTGAATAAATTTCATGAGTGTGCTATATTAACTTTATTTGATACCTTTCTTGTAAAGTATCACACAGTGCTTTTTGTCAAATCTGAGAGCTCAATTTCTTAGAAAGTAGTTCAGTTTAGTCAGAATTTTATTGATTAATAATATAGGCAGTAGAATAGTGCATCAACTTTTTGAAGAAGATATACTAGTGTGTCTTAAAATGGCATAATGGATTTTTACAAGATCGGTGTCATTCTAAAGTAATATTTTATGCAGTTTTAAAAAAAGATGACCATGTATTATTGATTCACTTATATCAAAAATATGTGTAACTACAAGCATGAAAATTGTATTTGTGTTTTTAGTTTCAGCTTTTCATTTGATGTCCATGGAACATCCCTTTTTAACAAATTTTCTTATCATTATTATAGTGCATGTAATGAAATATTATATCAGATTTTTTTTTATCTGTGCGTCTTTTTAAAGTATTTGTAAAATACTAGATGTGCAACAAACTTTTTTTTCTTAAAATAGTTAATCTTTATTTAATTTATTGCTAGTATAAAATTTGGAAAAAGATATCTATTCAGCTAATTACAATGTTAGCTAATTTGAGATTAATTAGAAATTTGTGTGCTTAAAAATTTAATTGCTAGTTTATTTAAAAAATGAATTTGTAAATAAAGAAAATTCATGGTTGACCTTTTTTTAAGAAAAGTATGTGTTATATTCTGATTTTTATTGTAATTTATTTCATATTATATTGCATCAGTTATTAAGGTTTGTTGATTTGCATGTGGCTCAGATAGGTGGATTTGCTAACATTTGAATTTTAACTGTATTTAAAATTTAAGTTTTGTAGAAAATTTGAAAGCAGCCTCAGTTATTGAAATTTAAGCCTGTGGTTAATATGACTGAATTATGTTTGTAATGATAAATTTTACGTACTTTTTTCAGAAATTTCGATTTTGTGGAGAATTGGACTGTCCTGACTGGGTACTTGCAGAAATAGCTACTTTATCTAGAATTGTAAGCAAGGTTTTTTTATATAGTATTAAAATAATTTGTGAACATTGAGTGTTTAGCGTCACTACTCTCATATGTTCAGGCTGTTATTAAAAGGGTATATTTTAATGTTCTTAGGATTAAACATGAAAAAATATCAGTAGCTATAAAATTTAATTGGCTAAATTACATATAAATTCCTAAAAGTAATTTTCAGTAATTTTTCACACATATTAATTGAAGATAACCAGTCATATTTCTGATTCAAATAAACAATAATTATTGCTATATTTGTTTCATTTCAGAAATAATAACACCTAAGTGGGCTGTAATTGTCTTATATTAAATGACACAAAATCTCAGTCACAATTATAAAATTAATAACTCGTGGCTTTCAATGAGCTGATTAACAGACTTTCTTATTCACCACCATCAGTGACTCTCACTCATGTCACAAATCATGTGGCTTTATTGCAGAGGTGCAGGTGAAAACATACCACCCAGCATTACAATGTGTTAGTATTCCAACAATCGTAATTAAGATATACAGTCAAAAGTCGTTAATTCGGACACCCATAATTCGGAATGATCTATAATCCGGACCTCAAAACTAAAAACTTTCTGCGCATGCGCCGCGTTGACACATGCGCATAGGAGTTTATGTGTGCGCGTAAGACCTTTTACGACTGCGCATATGAGTGTGCGCAAGTGCAGAATACGTTTTCGCGTGCGCGTTTTATGTATAATGGACGTATAAGCTAAAATTATCTAATTATCTATTTCAGTTAATGTTGATGATTGCATTGTTCCTTAATTTTCGAATTGGATCCGGCTTATTATTTTTTGCAGACTGTAAGAGCAATTTTATAAAAGTAAGCTTAAACTTTCGATTATATCAAATAGAATTTCCGATATATATTTGTTAACGTGTAAAGGATCTAAAGCGAAAGTATGTTTTGAAATCCGAAATCTGTTTATCAATTTCACGCTGCTCGGCGGGGGGAACGCCGCGCGTAATGAATTGGAAGTTGATTTGTCAGCACTATCCTTATCTTGCGCAGATGTTTTTATTTGGATTATAATTCCTTACCAAATGTAGTATTTCATCTCGATATGCTCCGTCTTTGATATGATTTAAAACAAGTTCCTCGTCATTAAAATTCGCTTCCGATAGCGAAGAAAAGTAACAGAGGTTGTTGAAAACGAAAAAATTTCGATTGACAAATTAGTCGGTGTTCTTAACACAGCAATTATAGGACTTGAACAGCGGAACTTTGTAACTGAACAAGAAATTATGTCTGTTTAATAGAATTAAAGAGAAAGTATTATCACATGAAACGAAGCAAAACTTAAACAACTTACATTGAAAGAAAGAAATGTTTAATAAAGTAAACAAATAAATATTAAGCTTTTTCTTTTTGCAAATTTTGATACCCTTTAGATCATAATTGTTCTTTATTTCATAAATTACGGTTTCATATTTTTAATTTTAGAATTTCTGCATGCCATCTTACGAGATTTAAACTGATGATCTATAATCCGGAAAAATCGATAATCCGGAATCGCCGAAGTCCCGACGAGTCCGGATTAACGACTTTTGACTGTATACGAACAAGTTAGCATAAAGTCGTCAAAATCATATTCAAACATTTAACATAAAGCCAATAATGGTACAACATGAAATTCAATTACACAACAGTACTTAATGTTGAGCATATTCTGTACTAAAATACAATAAAGCAATACTCATTTTTGTAGTGGTAAGACAAAGTTTTATAATTGGTTGTTTGCCTATACCCATCTGAGTTTTTACAGTACACTCACAAGAAGTTTTCCATCTTGAACATAAAATACTTTCGATCAGTTGACCAGTTACAAGAAGACAAATTATCCTCAACTAAGGCCATGTCTCCATCATTTATATTGTTCTTTGAGCTTTGCCATTTAGATCAATTTTGTGACTTAAACAATTGGAGTTCCATTTTTCCCTGAAAATTTCAATCAGATGCAAATTGATATGCATACAGGTTTCGAATGGAGAAAGCAAAATTTTAAAGTTTGCGGCCAGTAAATGAATATGTGATGCTGCAGTGTATTTTAACTGTGCAATTGGCAGGGCATTAAAGAGGAGAAATCTCGATTCTAGGTCATAAATTCTTTGCGAATTTCATTCTGTGTACTCGGATAGACAGTAGCAATGCCGTGCATAAACAATATGTGCAGATGTCAGCATTCGAAAACGGACGTGTAGTTGGGCTCAAAGAAGCAAGTTGTTTTAATTGGCAAGTCACTTGATCTTTGGATTTGAGTAATGCCACTATTAGACAATGTTGGCAGGAATGGGTAAACCATGACCAAACATATTGTCAAGAAGGAAACATTTGAGCTAGAGAGACAACATGAAGACCCATCAATCATCGGGGCAGCATTCAGACCCCCAGATTCATTATTGTCATCTATTCAATGTGCAATTGGTGCTTTAGTGACTGAAAGGACTATGAATAGGTGGTTTAGAGAAAGGAAGCTGAGTTCACAGTCCCTCTTGTGCCGACTACTATTGTCCTTTGTATACCGAAAATCCCATTTACAGTGGTGTGCATTTGACCTGAAATGTCACTAACTGGGGTAGAGTTGTCTTCAATGATGAACTGTCGATGACCAGCAAAGATTTGTCTGGAGACTTCCGGACAGCAGTGGGACACCAACCTTACTTTTGCCCACCTTGCGGCCCAACAACCAAGAGTGATGGTCTTGAGTATCATTTCATTTAATAGCAAGACCCCTTTGTTTGCCACTCGCGGTACCCTTACAGAACAGTGGTAATGCCCTTTGTATCACACCATTCGGGGCTTACATTTTAGCAAGATAATGCCCGCCTACACACGGCAATGGTTTTTTCTGCTTGTCTTCATGCTTGTGTAACACTACCTTGGCCAGCAACGTTACCAGACCTCTCTCTCATTGAGAATGTTTGGAGCATTCTGGGTGGGGTCCTCCAACCAGCTCAGGATTTGAGCGATGTAAGGCACCAATTTTACAGAATTTACTGTGATATTCCACAGGTGGACATCTACCAACTCCATCAATCAATTATGAGCCAAATAACTGCTTACGTAAAGGCCAAAGGTAGACCAACATGATATTGACTTGCTCACTTTGTAAAGCTCTTTCTCTTGAATAAATCATTCAGTTTTTCTGAAATTGTAAAAATTTGTTTTCCTGTACATGTACATTACATTTACCAATTTTCATCTTATTTGGATAACTCTTTCTAGGTGAATCTTTTTTTTTTTTTTTTCATCTTGGAGTGTATTTTATCATGTAAAATTCATATTTTCCATCCATATGTAATAGTTATTTTGATTTTTTAGTCATCTATAAAGATGAAATTGCTGTGTACTCAAGTCGTCAATGGTATTTTAGGAACGCCTATTGATGTAAGTGTTCTCTGTTTTCTTTTAAACAGTATAAATTCAATAGTGCCTCTTTTTGTAAAATGAATATTGCTGTTCAGAGGGTTGCCATGCTACTGGGAAAACTGAAAAAAGTCATTGAATTCAAAAATTGATAAAAAATTCAGGGAAAAGTTAGGGAATTTAAATACAGTCAAAATCTGGAAAAAATGGGGAATTTCATATGGCGACCCCCCCACCAAAAAAAAGTGAGTTTTGCTCTGACGTTGAAAGCTATCACTTTCTTGGCGAATTATGTATCGTGTGAGCTTCATTCGGGCAGCTGCATTAGATTATCTTTTAGAAAGGCAAAAGAAGTTTCCAGCAACTTTGGTTTCCCGTAACCTCGAGAATCGAGAGACTCGCATGCCCATGTGCAGCGCATGTTGAACTAAACAAAATACTTATTCTCATATAAAACAAAATCGGTTTAATCTTAGTATAGGGTACTATGAAAGTTAGAATCAAAGAATATGTATTGTTAGAAAGGAAAACTTCTGTGCAACAAGAGTGGCTCCGTTCCAACGTAGAGGGAAACAGCTGCGCATACGCGAAATATCTGTTGTCAAAGCTCGAAGATCACGTTATCAAGAGTTGCGTGCTGAACTAAAGAAAATACATATTCTTGTATAAAACAAAATCGGTTTGTTGTTGTTGCTTATGCTGACTTGTCTGACATAGTCAGAGCAAGCCCACGAAATTCCCCATGGCAAGGAGCAGAAGATTATGGCTGTTCTTGGTTGGAGATGAATGGAAGACCCCCGGCCTTGAGCACCTAACAGGTGACAGTGCAATTTGGTTCAGTTTCGTCCCTTCCTAATTTTGAAGGGCACCTCAGGGGATGGGTCCGAGGGTCTCCCACCCCTTTCCCCCTCCACCAAACCACACAAGAGGACTTTCGGCTTGCTGCATATTTAGAGTGCTGCCATGCTGCACTGACACTTTAGATTTACAAACATTTAAGCCTTCTCCGGGATTTGAACCTGAGCCCTTCGGCACGGCAGTCAGCAAAGCTAATCACTACACCGATTGGGCTGCCAAAATCAGTTTAATCCTAATATACAGTACCATGGAAGTTAGAATAGCCTCCATGCATTCTGTTCTAACCTCCATGTACTGTACACACTGGATTTGGCAACATTATGATGAGCAGTAAATGCGTAATTTTGGTGTTGGTGACAATTTTTAAAATCGTGCCAAGGCCGTAGCATATACTAGGATTTTACGGCAAAATGATTTAAACCTTTTTATTTTTTATAAATGCCTTATTTGTCATTTTGCAGTAAAATAAAAAAAAAAAAAATAGTAGTCAGTCATCTAGGCTAACCATTTAATATAACTATATTAGCCAAAATATCATTGATTATTCTAATTCAATTTTTAATTAATTATCTTTATTTTAATGTTGCTTCTTCCCTCTAAATTTATTTATTATTGGTAAATATTTCTTTCAAATTTCAGGAAATTTTCTCTGCCATAATCCTGAAACTAATTCTAGCAGTATGATGACATACCACCATGAAATTTAATACACATATTTTTTGCTCATATATGCTGTGAAATAAATATAAAATACCTGAATTTATTTAAAATATCATTAAAAAGATTTCTTTCTTTTGTTTAGCTGCAAAATGTCTGCAAAAAAAGACATTTTTTAATCCAGATTGGGCAAATTCTAATCTGTCTTCAGTGTAGAAAACAGCTCCTATTATAGTTATAATAGTAATGCTTTGGGGATTATATATATATATGTATCATATGTAATTGCTAAATTTTTTTGTTTTCAAGTGGTACCATAATTAATTTACCTCTTAGCACAGCCAACGTGCATTATGTGGGTAGACTGGAATTTTCTTAAAACACACCTGAAAAAGTCAGGGAATTTCATTCTCCTGTTTGAGTGGCAACCCTGTGTTCAGGTGCAAGGTTTTATGTTTATTAAGCATTATCTTATAGGTTTGCTATTTGGTCTTTACTGTCACTTTTACTTCCACCAATATGCAAATTAGTTAATGTACTTAAGCAGAGACTTTTAGTTCAAGAGTGTGGCTAGCTTTGGCTGACCATCTAGCTACTATTTTGTTCTAGTATCTGAGTTACTTGAATTGGCTTTAGCCTTGCTAGCTTATAATTTCTTGTCTATATTGAGGGCCTGAGCTAAAACTAGTAAGCATGCTTTGTCCTTAATTCTCACATTTTAATACTTTTTTTAAAGAACCATTAACCAGCTGATTTTTTGTTTGACTTTTAAATCAACCAGTAATCAGTTTTGTTCAGTTACTCAGCTTTTCTATCTTCCCTCATTTCCATTTCCTGCCAGAGTGATGTTTCATTTTCACGTGATATGCAAAGTAGAGTAGAAAGATATTATTTAAGCTAGTGTCTGAGTTACTTCAGACAGAACATGTTATGCTGGTCGACCATGTTGTTTTGCTAAATTGAGCTTGCTATTTTATCGATGTGCATATTAATTGCTGGTTTGTGTACATTGGTGGTAGTGGTAAGAGGCAATTCACATTAATTATTTTTCTGAAGCTTCAACTGATTAATTAATTTAGTTTTAATTTTATATTTCTATTATAATTTGCAGCTAAAAGTATTGGCTTAGTTTGTAAGCACCAGGAGTGCTGTCTGTAAATTCCTTCTTGGGTTGAATAAAAGATTCTTTTCACCCTTACGATGTCTTGTCATTGATACAGCTTGAACTTAGTGAAATAGTCACTTCACATTTCAATTAAAGATGTATCTAGCAAAGTAATATTAACTTAGCTAGAATCTTTTCAACTTTAAATTTATTTTAACTTTGTTTCTTTTATTCCTATAAAAGGTAAAGACTGTTTCCGTTATTACACAAATTGTGTAACTGTTAAGTAAAAGGTTTAAAATAAACCTTTTTATATTTGGAGTTACTTTGCTCAGAGGGTAAGATGGGGCAATAGATCATCTGATTGTCTTCATGTATTGCATTTAATATTTAACCCTTTGCTGATTACAAGAATAAGTAATTCTTTCTTCCCTAATGCGTGCAATATCTTTCAGTCGTAAATTTGTAGTGAAAGGTGTGTTAGTTTTCATCCACTGCAATGCATAACTGACCGTCAACAAGCTGAGTTTAGGTTAAAATAACATGCTCAACAAAGATTAATTTAGAAATGGACTTTGCCATTTGTGTTTTGGCAGCTGAGAATGATGGTTCAATAAAACCATCGAAACTAGTCTTGAAAAATTTGCAAATAACACTAATTTTGGTGAATCTTTACATTATGGTAACTTGGTGATTTTTTGGCGAAAATTTGACGACCAACACTGCTACAGCAACCTGCTAGTTTTGTTTTGGATGCCATTTTGTTTTCACGAAGTAAAGGCAAGTTTTTTTTTTTTACTCAACATTTTTTCCAACAATCTGCTAGCAGAATTACACTTATACTAGAACTTTTATGGAACAAAAATGCTTAATCATGATGAAGATTAGGTGCGAAATTGGGAGAAAGTGCAGAATCGCAAACTGCTTGCCATGTTTTTAAGAATCGCACATACACGGTATGTATCCATGTACACTTCAACCTATTTTCACAATCCCAGAATTGCACAAAAATGGCATTGCGCACACTCTTGACTTTATATTTGTACACATCGACCTATTTTCACTTAAAAAGAGACAAAATAATCTGTGATTCAAACTGTGTACTTCTCAGATTATTGCTAAAGTCCTAGCTATTAACCTTTATTGCCTTACCAAAATGTCACCAAACTACCTGTTACCATATTCTAAAGATTAGCCCTGATTTTTATTGTTTAACATAAATTAAACTGAGTTTGTTGACGACCATCAAAATGTTAAAGCATTTTGGTTCTTACATAGTTAATTATCTTAATAAATTATTAACTTAGTTTGTTTTAACTCTCTAGCAATATGTTGTTCACTTAGTTATATTTATGAGTTGCAAAACTTAAAAATTTGTTTCACATCGTGTATTTCAGGATATTAATTCTGTACTTAGGATTTCAACTGTTTAAGTTTGAAATATAGCAGATAACATATTAGGACCAAGGGTTGTGAAAATAAGTGAATTTTCCAGATTGCAAGTCTCTTCAAACTTGTTTATATTTTCCCCTAATTTTTATATTAAATATGAAATAGTTACTCATAACTAACCAAAATACATTTGTATATTAGTTATTATTATTAATTGTTATCAAGTTATTTAATCAAGATATATTCAGTATGAAGCTATTACACTTTTTGAATATAACTATATACAAAGAAGATGTCAATAACATAATGGAAGAAAAAGGAACCCTTTCAAGAAGTAAAAATTCATCCAAGAATTTTATGCAAAAATATTGTATACCTTCCACAAAATATCATTCAAAGTAAATTTTACACTCCCTAATGAAATGATAAATACACTATTTACAAAATCTCCAAAAGCCAAGATTTTCCTAAATTTGATTCCTAGGGGAATTCTGCCATTACTTACAGTTGGATTAATAATGCTACAAAAAGTACTGAAATTGACATTTTGGATTTATTAAAAGAAAATTTGTCTGTTCTTTAGCCTTCTATTTGTCTTTATATTTTAATGTGAGAGAAAATTGTTTAAATGCTATTGTTAAAGATCTCTCCATGTTTTGCATCATTATTTATATGGAATACAGTACAAAGTCTGTAATCTGGACTCGTCGGGACTTCGGCGTTTCCGGATTAGGGTTTTTTCCAGATTATAGATCATCAATTTAAATCTGGTAAGATGGCATGCAGAAATTATACTATTAAAAATATGAAACCGAAATTTATGAAATAAAAAGCAATTATTGTCTAAAGGGTATCAAATTTTACAAAAAAAAATCTTAATATTTATTTGTTTACTTCATTAAAACATTTCTTTCAACGCGCGCATGCGTAAAGTTTGGGGCTTTGAGGTCTGGATTATAGATCATTCCGAATTACGGACTTTGTACTGTATAAGCAAATTAGATACAAA